GAAAGAGTGATGTTACATTTATCCACTTTGGTTTTTGGAATTTTCTGGAAGGTGGGACACAGGTGTGGGTGAATTCATATGCAGTGTTGTATTCGGATTTCTGGGCAGTTGATTTCTGTGACTTGTGATGCAGCCATCAGGATTTTATACAGAAACTGTGTTGCTGTCAAATTGAAAATCTGGTTAGGGATCATAAATATTTCTTCATGTTTCTATTTCATTTTTCTTATGTGAAATTCTGTGAGGTTTGAAAACATCCTTGCTGGAAGTTCTCTTAAGTGTCTCCAGTGTTCTGCTGTTATTTCTCATTGCTCATTGGCTGGATATGGAGAGATGTGTTCTCCAATTTTTAGAATCCAGATCTCTGGTTAAATGACTCACTTTTGATTTTGGCAGATACATTGAATATATGTGTGACATGATGGCTGAAGAACCCATTATTCCTCACAGCAAGCCCATCCTTGTCAGATCAATCGTCATGACTCCAGTTCCTCTTTTCAGTAAGCAGCGTAATGGCTGCAGACCTTTTTGTGAAGTTTATGTGGGAGATGAGAGAGTAACCACTACCTCCCAGGAATATGACAAAATGAAGTAAGTATGGGTTAAGATTTACTCTGAAACAGCACGTTATGTGTTTTCTAGACCGATCTAAATATGAAGTACGTACAGTGAAGAGAGCGTGATTTTGCATGTGCTGGGTGAGCACTTCTTTGACACATGGAACGGCTTCTCTGTACCCTTCTAGCTGATCTTGAAAGGTGAATCATGGGAAAGAGACAATGTGGTTATAGTAGCAGCTTGGCTCTGTTTCTGCAGAACAAGGGGATGGCAGTGCGGTGACACAGTGAGAACTGGCGGAAGAAATAAGCAAGACTCTTTCCTCTCACTCCGTGTAGTGTAAACTGGGAAGGTTGAACCCTGGAGTACTCTACTGAACTGAACATTGTGTTTGTCATGAAAGTAGTAAGGATCCATCATGCATGGTGTAGGTGTGAGGGGAGTACTTTTTAGCTCCTGTACAGCTCTGGTGCTTCTGTTGTAATACAGCACAGGAATTGCAAATAGTACTAGAAGTGCTAGGTGTAGATAGTCACAGGCAGCAGAAAGATGAGAGAGTACTGAAGTCTTCCTAGCTTTCCTACAAATCAAAGCCCCATAAGGAGTTTAAGGAATTTGAGGAGACTAAGAAAGAAAGCAGCTGTGGGCTGTTTTTCTGCTCTTTTTCTCTAATGCTGTCCCTCAAGAGGCAGCAGTGCAGCTACAATTTCTCATGGCATCTTTCTTTGGAACACCTTTCTTCCTAGTATCCTGTCCCTTACATTTCTGAGCAGCTCCTTGAAGACATGTTTCTCCCATGTTTAATTTGAAAACTAAGAGTCTAAATATGTCTGTTCTCTCCTGTAGGCAACTGTTACTCTTGTTAATTTTAGAGCAGCTTTGAAGTTTTAATAACTTAGATTGAACCCCTCCTCTGTAATAAGAATTTGGAGCAGATTTTTATGAGTTGATATTGAAGACTTCGGAGAAACCAAACTAAACAAAAGTTAATATGCTATTTCTTTTAAAGACAAAAATAACTGTGGATATTTGTTTTTCTTCAGGGAGTTTAAAATTGAAGATGGGAAAGCAGTAATTCCACTAGGTATAACAGTCCAGGGGGATGTTCTCATTGTGATCTACCATGCCAGGTCAACGCTAGGAGGCCGACTGCAAGCCAAGGTAATGATAAATTTAACAGCCTGCATGGAGGATTTGCTTTATCTTGTTGCAGTTTTGCATCATACTTATATTTGTGATCTCTTTAAGAACATGATTTTATTTGCTATTCTTAGTTCAAAGAAACGTGTGAAGTTTTCATGTACTCAGAAATTTAGCCTTTTCATGTCTGATAAGTATGTTCACTATTAGTGCTTTGCATGTAGATGCTTTGGTAGGCATTTCTGGAAATTACTACAGTAGTGGTAGTTATTATATTTGTATGGAAAGCCTCTAGTCAATGTCTGAGGCAGTAATTTTTATCTGTTAAGCTGCACAACAAGACAGAACTTTTATATTCTGTAAACATAAATTGCAACCAAGTTAAAAATACCACTCAACAGGAAAGTGGAATTCCAAGGGCTGCCTGTACAAAGTAAGCTAGAAAATTCTGTTGGGTTTTTGCAAACTTTTTAGAGCAAGGCTGCATTTTTGTAGCTGGTATTCTTAACAGTTTTTGTTCTAATAGGGAGAAGGCACATCTATAACTGTGGATGCAAATGTATTGCAAGAACACTTAAAACTTGTTAATGAAGCCTGTCTTCAAATTTCTAAAAGAGAAGCATGATGTTTTTTTCTCTGGATGGGTAACCCAAAGTAAACTTGGAGATAAGGGGTAGTGCAAAGCTTAAGATAACTTGGAGCACTGTGAAAGTTGATCCAGAGGTTCTCCGGATGGTTTCCATACATTTTTGGGCAAACAAGCATGTTCATACATACCTATTGTTATTGAGATAAATTCTTATTATAAATTATAAAAATAAAGTATTATTTTTCTTCTCTTTTTTTCTAATTCATGTATAGGAGGGTAGGTATCAGATCTTATCGTATTACAGGGGTTCAAGACTTTCTTAATGTCCCCAGATTGCTAGATCTTCCAGAAAAAGCACAGTGGAATAATTCTGTGATGTGCAAAAACAAGTATATGGCTCAAAGTCATCGGTGAAGGATCAAAGTATTATTTAAGGTGGAAAAAAACTTTGAGTCCAACTGTTAACCTAGTGATGCTAGGTCAACCACTAAACCATATCCCTAAGCACAATATCTACACATCTTTTA